AATCAGTGTTTGAGATCTAGCCAAACATCCTTATGTAATTTCCAAGAAGGATCGATGACAAAAACTTCTGCTAATAGGAATGAAAGATATAAGCAACTCACAATCCACAGTAAACTCTCTAGTCAATTCCAAAATCTCTATGACCCCATATCTCTTGCAGTGAATGCTTTTCTCTGACACTGTTATTATGGAATTGCAGAAGCTTTGTTCTCTTTGGAAACAAGAAAAATGTATAATCTCCATTTAGAAGATTTTGCAAGTCATACAAATAATAGCCAGCCAGTTATGTTATGATCACTGTACTATGCTACGCAGAGGCTATGATAAAACAGTTGTTGAAAACAGCTTTGGTTTATTGTTAACCGATGAACTTAGAAGAGTGAAGGATTCTTGTCACAAGGCAGAACATAAGGAAGAAGAAAATAACAGTGTACTTCTGTTGCTGATTTTATTCTGTAATATTTTGTATAGTCCAAGTAGCTGATGATGCTATTTTCTTGGCAACAGAAAAAGCAACTATTGTAACCAGAAGAAGCTACACAGATTTCATACAAAACACGCAGTATATGTTAGGGCTTTCTGAAAGATTACTGCAAATTTCAAGGTTATAAAAGAATACTGTGGAGAGAGCATATGTAAGTGAAACAGGGAAGAATGGGGCTGGATAGGCGAATTATTTCTTCAGCTTTCTCATGGGCAAAGTCAGCCAATGACACTCAGTAGTCTCATCATGCTCTGAAGCTGGTGATGATGCTATGTTATTGCAGGACAACATTTGAGATCAGCTTCCTTTCCTCTGGGCTGAATAAACCAGGAGCATCAGCTGCTCCTCATTTGTCTTGCCCTTTAGATCCTTCACTGCTTTTGTTGCTCTTTTTGGGATGTTCACTAGTAGTTTTAAATCTTACATTGTAGCACCCAGAACTGCACACAGTTCAGGTTTTGGTGAATCAGTATGTCTGGGGATGCTGTTAAAGTACTGCAGATAAGATGTAAACACTTGAAGCATCTAACAGGTCTCATACGCTCACCAAAATAAAACCCGCCTGGCTCTACAGCTCTTCCACAAACTAAGCTTCCAACACAAGGTGCTTGCTGTCGAATTAGTTGCCTCTTGAGAAATCAAATTAGATACCTCAAAATCTATATTTAAACCCTTGCTGCTACATAATCAGGCTATTAACACCATACACTCGTGCATTCTTGGAGATCTGGAACAATTCCACAATTACTATACTCAGACTGGTGTTAAATTTTGGAGTCATTTACTGTGTATTAATTACATCATGTGAGAGCATGACATGACTAACCTCTTACTAAAGTTACCTGTGGTACATAACACGTAGGACCTAAGTGCAGAGGACCTAAGTGACAGATTACTTTTTTTATGCCCTGCTCTGGATCACAACTTACCTCTAATGATTTTATAGTACCACCATTCACTGATTTCCAATCTAGTGAAGGAAACAACGGCTAGTACATAGTTATTACTAATTTCAGTTTATGACATACTCACATTAGAAAACATCATATAAAATCTCACTATTACTGTTCTTTCCTGTACATTTGAGCATTTTCCATTTATTTCTTCTGCTTTGCCTGTGCTGTACCTTTCTCATTCTAATTTTTCAGGCGATAAGAACACATACTATACAGGATATAAATATAAAAAGGGGAGCTTGAATGTAGCATGATCAGAAACTTCACTAGTGTCTCAGACATCTCCAAGCAGCAAATGCACGTCCATTGTCATATTTCTCAACTCACTACCACCGCATTTAATTAGAACGTTGGGAGTCACAAATTTTGATTTGCTGAGAAGATATAAAATAGAAACACTAAAAAGGAAAACAGAAATGATTTTATTCTGTATTTTTTCATATCAGCATGTCTTTACCTGGAAAAGGTTTCAATATTCATGCCATATCTTAATAATCAAAGAAGCTCTTTACACTATCTATGATTTCTTATTAAGATGTAAATCAAGAATAATCTCTGATTTTTCTAGCAGAGCCTGAAAGCACTTTATTAATTAGTCAGGTTCTACCTAACTTCTGACAAGACTTCTCTCGTCATAGGAAAACTGACTTTAAAATTATCTTCTAAGTTCACATCTATGGTCAGCAATAAGGGGCCTGAATTGTATGTAAGCCATCAAAATTGTATGGTGATTTTTAATTGTCACTAAAAATCAGTGTGCATCTTCTTTAATGATAGAAGATGTGAATGCTTTGGTTTAGTTGTTTAATTCATATTTTGAAAATCTATTCTGATGCCTGCGTTCCATTAGATACAAAAATGAAACATCCCATGCTAGACGAGCAGAATGGTAGGTAGTTCACTGACTCAGGACTTACTTCTTTCATTTGTCTTTATGCTTTCTCCATTCCAAGTTCTGTAGCACCTCCCTTTATCTTTTAAACATACACGTCAGAAAGCATTAATCAATGAAGCATTCACAGTGATTATATGATTACCACAGCTTACCTGTTCTTGTTATGTGGTCCATAAATTATCTTCAGTTTGTTTTGATGCTGTCTCTGTTTGAGAAATGAAATCCTTGAGATGAGCACCACGGCTTGTTTTCATCTATAGATCATCTGCCTTCCTAACAATCAATAACAGATTAATGATAAATTAATAATATTTCCATTCCTTTAAGACCTCAAATTATACTGAGCAGAACTCAGCTAAAGCTAACTGGTGCCAAAGCTTCAGCTGGAGGAGAACTGCCTGTCCTGGTGGACACTTTTGGATTTTCTTCATAAATTTTAGCAGGCTGACCAACCATGCTATTTAGCTGTAGCCACACTGAAAATCTGAACAAGATCAAATAAGTACAGATATTTTCCACCCACATTCAAAAGAGCAAATGATCCAAAAAGGCCCGATCAGGCTGCCCCCAATTCAATAACGAGTTCATTTCCATGATAAATTTTCAGTTTCCCAAATTTCACTAGTACTGCTCAGTAACTTAATTAAAAATTAAAACCAGAGGAGATTTGTTTAAAGGACATAATCTAGCTAAATAAACCACAGCATAGAACTTACATAGTCTAGCTCTCTAAATTTACCTCTCACAGGGTATTCTAATAGCATTACAACGTAAGTCCACATGGCATTAGCATTGCCTCATGTAATGCAGTCTTCTGACTTTCTTTAAAACAGGTGGTTAATTGCAGGTTAAATACTATCTGAGTAGAGCTTAACTTGAAACAACAGTCTCCACCTAAATTTCACTCATTTTCGTTTCTAAAAATTAGATAGCTGAAAGACAACAGATTACAACCTGGCCAGAAGAGACTTTGTTATGAACTCTGACAATCCAGATGCCAGAAAACCTCACTTCTCTTTGTTATTTCTTAGGGTCAGATTCTCACTCCAGTTTTTTTCCTGGCAGGTCAAAAGGATTTCTTTCCACAGTGAATGAAAGTACTCCTAACCTCAACCTTTCTGCTGTGAAGTGGGTGAGCTAAATCTGGCAACTTTACCTCTTTCGGGCAGATGTGTAGTTCTGCCTGGCCTGATGAATCTCTTACTACCAGCTGTGTTTATCTGACTAGAGGCAAATCACTGAGGAGACATCACCGCTTCTCCAGAAAAGGAAGCGAACAGCTGCGCCTCGCGTAATCTGTTCTTGGATCCGCAGGCCTCCCCTTCATTCCTCTCTACGTCCCATCGCACTTGCTGAACTTTTACTCTGCTTCCTTGTAACATTAGAAACTCCGTGACTCGCACTGAGTTCTGCCCACAATCGGTTCCCACCCGGCGGCCCCCGGCAGCGCCACCGCCCCAGAGGCAGCCATACGCCGGCGGCGGCCGCGGCCCGGCGTCGCCACCTGCTGGGCGCCGTTCTTCTCAACTCTTACCCGTAGAAAGCCCGCGTCCTTTTCCTCACGGGGACTTGCTCGTACTGCCCTACCTGAGCTCAGATTCCTGTCCCTAACTTACCGTAGAGCTTGCTGAGCTTGCTGGTGTGCCTGCCCTTCAATAAGCTGCTTAACCCTTTTCTGCTCTGAGATGGCTGCAAATACCAGAGGCTGTGCTCATTCTGACACTGGCCTTCTTGAGGAAGTTAAACCTTAAGCAAGCCTGAGGTGAACATCCTGCAGAAGACCATTTTATGAACACTTGCTTTTTGCAGCCAAGCTGGTGATCTCCTCAAAAAGCTACATGGTGTTTTTCTGACCAGATTAGATTTTTGTTTTATTTTTTATCTTTGCAACCATTATTTTTCCTCAGATTCCTTGTTCCACTCTAGACATTCCATGATTCTGACCAGGAGTTATGGTTATTATTATTTTGTTACTGAGATTAGGCTCTTTGTTCCCTTTAGCTATTATGGAATTGGCTTCTCTCCTTTCTCATTATTACGTATTAATCTAAGTGAAGATTGATATTGCTGCACAAACATTGCACCTTTCTTTATACACTGCTGTCGGGGAGACCTCATTGTGGTCCTTAGTACTTGATGGGAGCTTATAAACAGAAGAGGGCACGGCTGTTTATGAGGGTGGATGGTGATAGGACAAGAGAAAATGGTCTTAAACTGGGACAGGGGAGGTTTAGATTAGATATCAGGAGGAAGTTTTTCATGCAGAAGGTGGTGACGCACAGGAACAGGTTGCCCAAGGATGTTGTGGATGCCCCATCCCTGGAGGCATTCAAGGCCAGGCTGGATGTGGCTCTGGGCAGCCTGGTCTGCTGGTTGGCGACCCTGCACATAGCAGAGGGGTTGAAACTGGATGATCATTGTGGTCCTTTTCAACCCAGGCCATTCTGTGATTGTTGTAAGAGTCTGTTTTCTAAGGCCAAGCTAGAAATGTAAATACATTGCTCTGAAATACAAACAAACTACACAATCCAATCAGAAAAAAAAAAACAAAAAACCAGAAACAAACAAACAAACAAACAAAAAACAGCAACAGCAAATTACTCTGGGAAAAAAAACATACTGCTTTATTGTGAGGTCTTATTGTATTAAAGAGATATCATCAACAGATTCAATTATTTATGAATGCTGAATAACAGATCAAATAAAGCATGCAATGCAGGGAAGCTCTCTAATTGACAGAGATGGGTTAGTTCTTCAAGCTCTTTTTTAAAAATGAGAGTTTTCTTGACAAGTATGAAAGCATACCACTACACAGCAGACAGGCTAAATTTGAATCTTTTAATAACAAACATTAACTTAAGCAATATAAAGAAAAGTTGGAGAAAAATGTATGTGAAAATAGATCTCACTTTTTTTTTTTTTTTTTTTCTGATGTCCTAAAACTGATTTAACCAGTTCTAGTCATTCCAGAATGAGAGACCAAATAAAGGTGCACTAAATGTGATTTCCTTCCCATGTCTGTGTTTTAGCTAGTGTTTTCTAGCATTCAAAATCGTTACATGAGTTATGCTGCTTGCAGCAGATCTATGGCAAGATGTCATAGAATCATACAATCATGGAATCATAAAATCATAGAACTAATTGGGTTAGAAGGAACCTTGAAGGTCATTGAGTCCCAATCCCTGCTGTGGACAGGACTGCCCCTCACCAGCTCAGGCTGCCCAGGGCCCCATCCAACCTGGCCTTGAGCAGCTCCAGGGATGGGGCAACACAGCTCTGGGTGCAAGCTTGTCCTCTTCTTCCACCCCCATCACAAGTCTGGTAGATATTTCTTCCCTTGGTAATATTCTTTTTTTTTTTTTTTTTTTTTTTTTTTTTTTTTTTTCCTCATTAATCTCTAACACACAGACCAAGTTAGCTTGAAACAATCTTTTTTCTTACAAATATTTTTTTCAGATGTGTCATTGCTCAGAACTGATTTAGAGCCTACATAGTTAAGCCAATTCAAAATGAAAACAACAACCCAAGCAATGACAGGAATCTCTGTTAGAGGCAGTAGATAAAGGTGAGAACAAACAGCCGTGTGTGTGTTGCAGATAAGTGTCAATAAAATGTCAGTTTAACTTGGCTATAACCAGTACAGATCCTCTGACCATCCCCATAGTCCTTGTCTCCTACTCCATCACATTGCCTGTACATGACTTCTTTAATTGAAATGTGATATTTTTGGGGTAACTTTCCATGTGGCAACATATGATGAAAAACTAGCAATCAAGTGAGGAAAGAAAAAGAAAGATTAAGCTGTTACACTTTGCATTCAGCTTCCTAATACTTGACTGGAAATAGAGACACATCTCAGGCAAATATCAAAACAGCTATTACACAGATACGCTAGAACATCGAAGCAAAAGCTCTGTGTGTACCTTAGTTGATTTCCATTCTGAATACAAAGCTACCTCATTTATTTTCTAGTTTGTGCTCGTGATTATTTTTATTTGTTGTGTTTGTCCGGAGGCAGCCGTCATGTTGATGCCATGGTGCAGTGTCACACAAGCTGTGGCCTGAGACACCCCAGCTGGGCATCTCAGTATCAGGAGAATTTATTCATGCCTCCTTCAAAATGAATTGTTCAGGAAAACTTGCAGTGGTATTTAAGAAAATAGCAAAATCTGTTACTCTGGAATGGTACAGATATTTTAAGAATCCCATATGGGCATATCTCATCTACCGTTTCTGAAGACAGTCAGAATATACCTTAGTGGCAGATAGAAAAATCTTAAGAAGTGCTTAAGAGAAAAGGTAGATTGTAGGTCCAGTTGTCTGTCCACATGAGAAAAGCTGAATGGAAGCCGCTGGTTTAGAAGACAGGTGCCAAAATTGACCCCTGACTGCAATTTTATTAGAGAATCACATTACAGGCCTGTCACAGAGCAGCAGTTTACCAGTTTTTGAAGAGGAAGCATCAGCTGTAATTGTGAAGGACCGTGCAGACACACCCTCAAGACACAGAGGATTGTAGCTTTAACATCCTTGAATTTAACTTGATCTATTTTCTTTTGCAGGCATCTTCCAGGTACATGGAAACTAAGGGTAGAAGGGACTTTAAGAACAGGTTGCACTTGGGAAGCTTTCCTAATGGCTTACTGAAACTTATCTTATTGCAATTTCCATGAACTTGCTGTGTTTGTCAGGGAATAGCGATAACGGGGCTTTCCTCCAAGGGAGGATGAGCCAAGAGTGACTGCAGCATAGATGATGCCTCCACCAGCCGGGGCACGGCCTCACAGCACATAAGCAGGGCAAGGGGGTGGCAACAGGGCCCACGAACAAGGGAATCAACCAGAGATAGGTTCCTCCAGAGGCAGCAGGAGATGGAACAGGAGAAGGGCTGGAGATGAGAACACCACAGACTTGAGGCCCATCTGGGAAGCCCCACAAGAGAACCAGGGGTCCCAGGGCAGGATTTGGGCTGAGGCTTGTAGCCCAGGGCAGGGAGGGGCTGTTGGTGCTGGCAGGGGCCTGACAGCATTCACAGTGGACATGGTGATCAGTTGTGTTCTTTTCTGTGGGAGATGCATTTGTTGTCTTTCATTTGAAGTTGTACTCATACTTTCCTAGGAAGGATAAAGAGAATTGTAAAAATTGTGCACATATAAAGATCACCCTATTTGGTGTTATTTTATCTCTATAGAAGCTGTGGAAGGATCTTGTTTCTGGTTGTTTGTTGGTTTTGTTTTGTTTTCTGTTTTTCCTTATCTCTTGGCAAGGGTGAGAAATAATTTTTTTTTTTTCTTCAGTCAATTTACTCTCAATTCAGATGTATGAGCACATCCAAAAAGCAGTCCATGAGAACTGCACACACACTCAGACCTTGCAGTGCTACATTTTTTTAATCAAAACAATTGTGTTGCGATTACTTTTTTTTTTCCCAGAGGTCATTATCAAACAATTTGAGCCTACAGTATGGGAAAATCAAGTAATGAGCAAGAACATGCTCTACAATTGGCTGCAGTTCCTGTTATGATAGTTGAAAACTCAAATTTCTTCTCATCTTCTTCAGCCCATGCATCCAGCTATTGTAACATAGAATTTCCAGTATTGCCTCTGAGCAGTATGTCGTCCTCCATGGTTTTCATGTATGCTGGAGCCAACTGCTTTTTATTTGTTATGAGCACTACTGAATGCTCATACAAAAGAAGTAGGCTGAAATCTGATAACTGTCTCCCATCGTTTTCCCAAACTATCATTTGTTCAGATCTTTTCCCAAACTTTATCTGTGAAAAACTTAAGAGCAGATAGGTCAGACCTTCAGGAAAGAAATATTTTAATTAGTGGAAGACCTCAGAATTTCTAGTTTGCAACAGGTTTTATTGAAATTTCTGTTCCTGCTTCAAAGAGTACGCAGGTCTACACCTAGGGCATGGTAAGGTATTTCACACACGTTATGTGAACAGACCAAACACTGAGTTATTTAAGAAAAATGTATTTTTATGGAGAACAGCTGTTTACAGAGAAAATGCATATATTTCAGGAATAGATCCATTCACATTGTGAAAGCTTCACATCCCCAACTATTTCCCACATTTTGTGCCATGTTTTATTAAACTAGGAACTTTTGAACCTTTGTCTCTGTAGGGAATTTAATCAAGTCTGTTTCACAGGAGCAACAGATACTATATCTTGTCTCAAAGTACAGTCTAATTCTGCCTTGATGTTACTGCATAATGTATGCATACTTTACATTTACATTCCAGAGTTTTCAAGTATTGGAGAAAAATCATTTAAAAATTGAAATGTGTGCCAGTCAAATGATGGAGATTAATAAAGATGGTTACCTGCATGAAAAAACTAAACTAAGTTTCTAGCAAGAAGATGTTACATTAGTAAAAGGGAGCTATTTTCTGAATTCATTTTCATATGATAAATTAACGTCTCTTATAGTATGGAGATTAATTCATTTGCAGTTACCTTATCACCAATCAAAATTGGTGCCTTCTCTGAAATTCCTCCAGTGTCCAGCATCAGGAACACTTAGCTAGCTGGAGAAGAACATGAATTGTTTGTATGAAAATACTGAGCCATCTTTGAATTGAGAAAAAGTGTCCCTGTACAGTGCCTACTTAAGGGATCATCTGAGATTATTTGCTTTGTAGACCCCTCAACCCTGTAGTTTCTAACTTTAAGACCAATGACATTTTGCAGCGATGCTTTACAAGCCTAGAATCCTTACTTCTACTATATTTTCTTGTTGCTGTTTGTCTGTTTGTTTTAGGTAAAGCATTTGTATTTTTCCCAGATTGTGCATACCATGAAAGCTTTCCATGTCACTATGGTTAAATAAGACTATCTAGATGGGGAGGAGGATGACTAGATTAATCTCACCTACTACAGAATTTTGACTTTCATCAACTGAAGTCACTGGGAGGAGAACAGATGGACAGATAGGACAGGACACTTTTCATTACTTGTTGACAGGCACTGAACCTTGGGTTTTCTTCATCTGTTTGCAAATCATCCTTGAACAATCTGATTCTGCTTTCTTTACAAAATAATCAAATCAAACTATTGATGATGCATTTGCAGAGTCCCATTCACAACTCTTGTATTTTGTTTAACTATTGCAAATGGCTGGTATATGTTAGGATTTGATAGTCTCTCAGATTCATCTGATGCATGTTTTTTTCTTATTTTATGCACTTTGTCTATGCGCTTTCTATGAATCGTACTGCTGTGTGAGGTTGAAAATCAAGAGCATAAGACCCATCATACAAGGATCTCCCATATTTCTTCCAGCTCTACCTATTTTCATTTGGAATAATCCAGCTCTGCTGTAGAGAGTGCATAGATTACTGGATGGGGATACCCAGTCCTCCCAGCACAAAGTGTGAAAACATGTATTCAACCTTTCAATTTAATTGCACTTACTCTGAGCAACTGAACTACAGCTGCCTTGTGAGGAAACATTTAAAAATAAAGCAGCAACAGCATAAAACCAAAACAAAACAACACTTCAACACATCACATATGACTGACAAAAAACAATTTACATATAGACATAATTATAGACTGCAAGTATCAAGGAAAGGCAGTGTTTAGCATGGTCAAAGGGATAATCTGAAAAAAAAAGAGGTGATTCTTGTTACTTTGGAGTTCTGTATTACTAATAAACTAATCTTTAACACAACCTAATTTTTGCAGATGTTGTGATATAGAACACTACATAGTCTTCATAACTGAATTAATATGTGTGATGCTTTATGTTCTTCATGTATTTTTTGTTAGTTTATATATCTGTTAGGGTAAATCATGTTTTATTAAATCTTGGATACCAGATCAAATACTTAAAGGATCTGCAAAAGAAAAGAGGCTAGAGAAAAAAAAAGTCCATGTTCTGTTCTGAACAGGTTAACTTCATGCAGATTATTTCTCTCTTAGAAACGTACTACAGTGATATCTTAAAGACAGTACTTGCACCAATTCCAAGAACCTCTTCAGGCTTTCTGGTATTTTTAGAACTAATAAGCTGAGGTCCTAACATTTAGAGAAAAATATAATTGGATGAAATGTTTGCAACTATCATACAAATGCTGAAAGTAATGCCTCCTATTTTATTATGCCAGCTCGGAATGTCTCAGACAGATGTTGGTGGCATGGCAGTAGATGCTGAACCTTCCTGATACTATTCCATTACATTCTGTTGCTGTGTGACAGATGGCAGCACAGGGGCAGTCTGACAAAATGGTGACTGACATGGAAGTGTGTATGAAGAAAAGGTGTGTCACTGATTTCCTCTATGCAGATAAAAAATAGCACCTACTGATATTCATCAATGCGTGCTGAATGTTTATGGAGACCAAACAGGTGCTGATTTTCAAGAGTGCAGCATGTAGACTCTTGTTCATCACTGGTAAAAATGTATAGTTATTGATAGTAATTATGCTGAAAAGTAGTGCTTTGTGATTGAGCATTTACTCTATCAGTTTTTTGTAACTAATGAAGCTCCAATGAAAATAAGACAATCCATTCTTTCTCAGCCCTAGTCACAAGACTTTTCACTACTTTTACTGCACTGAGAATTTCACTTGAATTTGGCTGATGTTCTGTATTTTTCATAGAATGATCGTAAAAACATACTTGTACGCAAGTGTTGTCTTTGCAAGACAATGCAATCAAATAGGAGTAGAAATGTTTTAATAGATCAATGCATTCAGTACATTTAGAGTCTTTAGTTTCATCATACCATTTGTTGGTGTTTTGTGTTAGGGTACACTGGGTACAACTAGCTTAAGCTGATTCCTTACTCCTTGAGGTAAAACCATTATGAAAACATCTTAAATATATACCTACATCAAAGTGTTGCTGTGATTTAACAAAATCAATTTCTAAGCTGTTTTTTGTTTGTTTGTTTTTTCTTTTTTCTCATGCATTCAAAATCCAATCTTGGAAATAGTTCAATTTTCCAACTGAACTATCAATTGGTATGTTAAAATTATTCAGCACCACCATAAAGACCTTGATCTGTGGGAGAAGAAAACTAACATTTGCATAACAGACAAAGCTATGCCCAGCAGAAAAGCCAGGATTCATTGCATGTGAACTGAGAGGACTTTCTGGGACCTGATTCCAAGCTGAAGGGTGTTCCAGTCCTACATACCACATGGCTGATTTATAACACATAGTTACAGTTTTGAAAGACTTGATCCAAATTCCTCTGAAATTCAGACTGCATGGTGTGACATCTCTACCATGGGCCGCTCTTCCCTGAGTTCAGTGGTTGCTCATTTCCACGGTAATACCGGGACTCCTGCAACAAGGTAATGGCAACATAGGCCTGTCTGTTTCTGAGGAGGAATTGGGCTGCAACAGCAGTGCTAAGGAGACAAATACGCAAGTGTCCCATGGGAGTCTGTTCTAGAACCAGTTCTACACGGTACTGAAAATTGGTTTTCCCTTCCAGGGCTTCTTGGCGTCTTGGAGTGTATGTAGAAAAAACTGTCATTCTAGAGGATGAATGGTGAGGATGCAGAGAAATGGTTTCTGAACTCATTGTTTCTGTGCTTCTAAGCCATCAGCAGTCAAAGCTAGGATATGGGTCATCCTTCCATCTGGGGATAACCTACCTAAAGAACTGAAAAAGAGACCCAGAATCAGCTTTGCTGTCTCTGGATAATGCTGTTCTCTGTTTCAAATGCTCTCTCTCACAATGCAGGCTAGAATCACGGCTGGCTCCTTCTTGTCTAGACCTCTGGCATAATATAATAATCTGTACCAAAGCATCACACGCAGACTTCACTTTAGGCTCTAATCTAATTTAGGATCTTTTTAGTGGTTAGATCTTCAGAGAATCTGCTTTAAAAGCTTAAAGTCTCTTAGAAAACTTGCACATTTTTTCTTCACCAGGCTTCAAAAAATTCAACATGCATTTTCTGTAGTTTATTCAAAGATTCTCAGCTGTCTTTTTTTTTTCCCTTCTCTGCCTCCCTGAGTTAGATACTCCTTCCATTCGTAATGAAGCATTAAGATGGGCATAAGCTTAGCATATCAAACAAATGACAGGCCAAAGAAGAATTCTTGTTATTTGTATTTTGAAAGAGGAGATGAGGCCTGCTAGAGTAAAGATAGTATTTTTAGAAATGACTGAATGGCAGAAAACTCACGAGTTGAAAACCCAGTGAGAACTCGTGGAGATAGTACTGTGTTTAGTTGCCAACTACAGTTAATTTGAGAATACTCATGTAATTTAAGGTAGACTCCTGTTTTCTCGTGGGATGAATTTAATCCTAATGAGAATTTTCATGACAACAAATGAGGTTAAACACGCGTTACCTCATTACTGCCTGAGTCCTATGTCTCAGCACGTCCATTCAGAGATGCCATCTGCTAGAATACGCGAAAAAATGAATGCAAACTATTAGCAATACAGCTAAAAGAAAATCATGTGAAGACTGTATTTGTAACTCATTGGATTTATCTTAGAAATTATTTAATCATTGTAATTTTCAGTAGAAAAGATATGTGTTGCTTTTATTTTCTTTCTTTATTTTCTGGTTTTCAGGTGTTTCATCCCAGATGAGAAATTACAAGTAGCTAGCTTGGAAGGAAATGAAAAGAAGATAACAGGCGTAATACTAGAAAGCAAACACTTACAAATGCTGTTGAAGATTACGTACTTCAGCATTTGAGAAGAAAAAGAGAGAATGGTGAAGATTACATCTTCCAATTCCATTTTTCTACACAAAGTGCACCCTCCAGCCACTAAAACATCCTCCACACTGCAGTTCAGTCTTAGTCTACTCACAGAGCATTTGAATGTAATGAATAAGGAGAGACATTTTAGTAAGCGTGATTGACGCACACAGACAGATCTTGCTGTCTGCCAAACTCATTTGGTGTCCTGTAACTCAGAAGTGGCCAGAGCTGTGTGATGGAGAATAAACTCTCCACATGAGAAATTTTAAATGGCAAACAATTGCCAGCTCCAGACATTTGGAAATCACAGCTCACACCTCAGAAGATTGCCACTGGGCTTTAAAAATATGACACATATCTGGACTAATATATTCTTGTGGTTTTGCATTTACACTTCAGATTTGGAGACTTTGTGTTGTTCAAGCTTTCTTCTGTATTTATTTTTTTAAATGAGAGCTGATATTCTTTTGAAATCTTATGCTCTAGCAGCTGTTCTCCATGAATACTAGTAGAAACTGCAAGGTTTGGCACAGGGTTTCAAGAGTTAGCCATAAGTCTGGCACAATAAAGGCAGCATGTGGTGCAGGAAAACCCCTATCAGGTGTAAGATGGAAAACTGGTAGCAGGAATGTCAGACTGCAATGAAATATGCTGGAGAAAAATGAGGAGGAGGATGAAACTGTACTAGTACTTCTTACTGACAAGACCATGGGTTCTGCCTTCTGAACCCTATAACTCACAGGAGGTTCATAGAGCGAGATCATTCCTCCACCAGATCAGGGTTTTGCTATCTGTCTTGATCTCTCATCCCCATGCAATCCAAACAGGAAGGGAGAATGTAAAAGGCACTTACATGTTATTAAACGAAAAATGTTCAGAAGAGGTCAGGAACAAAGTCTCAGGGCTGTTTAAAGTTGCTTGATTGCCGTCTGCGTAGCAAATAAGGAAACCATACAAAGGTCACTATGTCTCATCCTATTACATCAGTGCCCTTTGAAAGTACATTGTGTCCCTTCAAGTTGTGTCACATCAAGAGCTGGTTGAGTGCTTCATTGTGACGGATATTCATTGCTAATTTAACTTTCTGTTACTGGTACATTATTTGTGAAATTATTCTCGTTCTGGGAAGCACATTTCTTATTTGCAGGAGTGTATGAACGCCTTGCAGACACTCCCTTTGACTGTTCCTGTTGTGAGGGCAGTCAAAACACGTGTCACCTCTTTTTCTGATCAGATGACCACAGTAAAAGAATAAAGAGAAGAATAGGATTACTAAAGTATTTCTACATTTTAAAAAGGTATGGGTTAAAAGAGTGAAAAAAATGTCAAACAAGCCTGTGTATTGCAGCTGAAAATGAGCATGAATTTGGAGGATTTTCAATGTTGACTGTACTTTCTATACATGGTTCTGAGCTGGTTTTTGGTTTTGTTTGGTTTGGGTTGGTTTGGGTGTTTCTGGCGTTGCAAAAACCAGTACATCCCTTAAAATGTTGTATTAGGAGTAAGTCTCAGAATTCTCCGCTAGAGGGCACTCTCTTCTTTTAAATAACGTGATTAGTATTCGGCTAAGTGAGCTATGAGTTCTCAGCTGCGAGACCTACCTCCTTTGGTCCTACCTCCGTGAGTTTATAAAAACGTACGAATGAGGTCAGTGCTGAGGGACTTGTGTGAAGTCTCAAACGTTCAATCTCTAGCTTGGAATGGAAAAAAGATTTTTAAAGCAGCATCCAGTTCAATTAGCTAAGCTGCAAGATTGAACCAAAGCGTGTGGAAATTCTCACTCTGCTTTGACACATAATATTTTATACATATAAAAGTATCAAAAATATCTTTGCATCGTTTTGTCATTTACAGTAAAATTTTTATCAAACATGATTCTCACTCATGGTGGAAACAGTTTTATTTTTACTTAGCTGAATGTGAGAATGTTAGTGCTGAATATGAGCTATTGAAGCATCAGGGAATTAATGTGTTACTTTTTCTTAGGATCCGTTTTCATGTCAGATCTGCCCCAGTTTAATGGGGAAATGCTAATGAAAGGGCTAATTCCACTGATATATCTGCTTGTACCTGGCTTTGTGCTTCCTTTGCCTTTTCTCTTTCAGACCTAACGATTGTGCAGTTGCAAGGCGAGCTGGATTATTTAGGTGGCTCAACAGAGAACAAGACCACCACAACAGTCAGATGGGCTATTCTGAGTCAAAGCACGACTGGTCTGCAAGAGAGCTTAAGGTACACAGCTGGGAGAGAAAGGCAGGAGCAGGACTTTCCTGCAGCAGCACTTTGCCTTTGCACCGGGCTGGCTGCAACATGATATCACACATTTTCAGGCCACTAAAAATGTCATGCAAACACCACTTTGGGTTTTATTTGTTTTGTTTCTGAAACTGAAGTTAGGTCACATCCTGGCTGCTGATCTGTAATGTTAGAATCATGTAATCTCCTGGAGTTCACTGGGTTCACAGCTGCTACAAAACAGGTGGCCTGAGAGAATTAGACCAATAAAAGAAATGTAAGTAAACTTGGGTTTATTTATTTTTTATTTTATTGTTATTCCCTCCTCCCAACATTATATTCACGTGGCTGTTCTCTATAACACTATAAGCTGTACTACTTAAGAGAAGCAGTCATTGAAAATAATGAAGACAATACATTGTGAATCCATGAGTTCATAAAAACTGGCCTCTACAGATCTGTAGTGCCTATTGAATAGACTTACTTGGACAACAGCTACTATATGTATTCAAGTTGTAACAGATTCTTAAGTATGTGATACACGTACAAGCCAGATCTTCCCTACCTAAGAATATGTGTTAAAAGCACAAATTCCTGTGTCTGCTGATTTGGTGCTTTTCTTGGTCTAACAGTCTTGGTATAAAGAAATGAATAAGAGAGGAATTATAGTTACTAAAATGCAACTAAAAAAAAGCCACCAACCAAACACATTGATGGTTTAGCATTATGTGTATCTTGTTATTATTTTCTGTCTTTTGAGTGTGATATGTTATGTTAGTTTACTTTAAAGGCGTTTATGCCTTTGATAGCATAATAATAAAGTATGTATTGCTAAATGTGATTTTCTCACTTTATTTTACTTGCTTTCGAAACTTACAAATAAAAAGCAAACACACCGGTGGTAATAAGAACTACACCCAGACAGAGCAAACTGTCACCTAGACCGTACTATGCTAGCTGAACATCTTGCTTTTCTTCTTGATGGACTTAGGAACAGGAAGATCTTCCATTGTAGACATCTAGACTGTTTATCTCAGTGTTAGCTACTCACTATTGGATGACACATATGGATTGAATATGCAACAGCCCACATCTTAGAAAGGGATGCCTGCATAGATATGAAATCATGGAATAAAAGAACGCATACTTTCACAGAAAAGCGCAGTCCAATAGCAAGATTATGACTCTAAAAGCCGAGAATGACGGATGAGAAAACATGGCTCTTTTATCTACATATTTTCATGTGAATAGTTAGTTGTGCTACCTAACTTTAAAAATCACAGTCTAATTTCAAGACAGACATCAAAGATGTAAACTATGATGTGGTCTGTGTTCCTATGCAAGGTAGTTGTACTCAGGACAGCTCTTGTGATCTTTGAGCCACACTGTTTGCTTGTTTGTCTTATGCATAAGGAAGAAAAGAAGAGCGGAAAATCTGGGCTGTAAAATTCCATTCGTTGGTGAGCACAGCTAGTTCAAGGGGAGAAGGAATCATGGTGTACTGCTAATCCAGGCCCACAGCAGAGTATGTCTGAATCAATTCTTCCCTTATGATTCCAGGCAAACTGTAATTAATATTTCTTCATTTGGTGTCCTTCACTTAGTTTTGAAGCTTCATACATAGCCATGAAAACCATGGGTAATGTCTGCTTGATTCATGCTGAAAAATCATGGAAAACAAAAAGGTGGTTATTTTAGCTGGGCTGATGGTAGAAATATCCAAAGTTCTCAAGTGTTAGATTAAAGTAACAAGAGCCAGAATGAATTAATATGAAGCAGATTATCATGACATAACAAGCCATTCAATATTGTCAAAATACTCTTTAAAACTAGCTTGATAGCATACAGTGTGTATACAGCAGTGCTGAATTTTCTAAGGAGATGCTTGCCAGGTTTTCATGATGGTTTTATTACGGAATAAAAGCCAGTATTTCAGATAGTATAAAGGAATGAGGAAAGTCACAGAAGCAGGAAGAAGCACCAGTTATTTAACAGGATTCTCAAAAACTATGCACAGGCACAAATAATGTAAGTTGCTCTGAAAAGATGGGAGTATTTTGAAAAATGCATCTTTTGTTACAGAACCAATACTGCTTTTATAAAATCTATATCTTTTGTTCCTGTTATTTTCTGTGGTAAAGAAATCTTTGTTTCTATGGGGCAAATGTATAGGTGGCAAAAGAAGTTATTTCCTGATTATGGTAAGTGGAAAGATCCTGGTTTTCAAGTCTTCAGTTCACTCTGGGAGCAAAAATCAGCATCTATATTCTTAAGGTCAAGAAATGTTAAAGCAGGAACAACAAAAAGATCAACTATGTCACCCACCATTAGTTATCTTACAGTCAGCATGGTGCTGTCAGTGCCAACCCCTTGGAATTCTGTAGTCAAATTCAGAATCTGTCTTTCTTACTGATAGCCATCCCAAGCCTCGGCTCATGATTGTAATAATCCAATTTACCAGGACTGATGTTGGCAGCTTCCAGTCTCTGGCACCATGGTGAGCAGAGCAGAGCAGAGCTGTCCTGAAAGGCACACAAGCACCATGGATGACATTCCCCAGAGTTTGTGAACCACCATACCTCTTCATCTCCTTCTGCTCCAAGTGTATTCTTTTGACCTTTTCCCACCCTGTTATAGATTACAAAAGCACGTACGCTAATAAACTCTTAAAAAGCAATTTTCATTCCCTATCTTTTTCTCATAAAATAGCCCACTACCAAAGGTTTCTCTCTACGCAGGCTCTTCTCCCTGGGGACAGGATGAAAGGAGAAACAAGTGACAGATGTTGGCTGTTTTGGTTAATGCACTATTAGAAAGCACTCAGACACTTCGGTGATGAGGGCATTATAAAAGTCCGTGTGGGAGAGAACAGAACGAGCACAAGGCGCGAAACATCAGAGGCACGATTGCGTACAGCTTGCTTTCCGCACCTTGCTAAGGAGCCCTGTCTGCTGGCCAAGCCACTCCATTTCATCTGCCCTGCTGTTGACAATAGGACAGAGAAACATACAGGGTGAGCGCTCTTTCAGAGAACGTGTATTCTGTCTTCCATTTCCTAAAGCACTCAAGGGATTAAACAATAAGAATCACAACCAGCATTAGCATTTTAATGGGGAACAACGAGTGTGAAAATTCTTATAATTTGGCCTTTGAGCACCATCTGAAAAAAAAAAAAACTGCAGGCAAAGAGGCACAGAGACAGAGAATGTACTCTGACCAGACTTATGAGAAATTCAGCATGTGTTTTAATGAGGAATGGGTTAAAGTAAGTCAGTGCAGTTGACCTTGTTGGAGACACATTTTCCTCATGCAAAATCCTGACATTTCAGACCTGCTTTCACACATTCCATGAATAGATGTTATTACTCATTATCACATTTATCATTACAAGTATAAAACAATGAGGTGTCAACGAGGGGAAGGATTAAAATAGGCTTTACTATTTTTTTTTTTTCTCGACAGAAAGTACCTGGCAAAGGTAATTATATGGCAACTTCTTCTAAGAGAGGGAAAAGAAGCCAAGTTTCTGACATCCAAAAGTGTTCCTCTGAGGTGTTGTTCAACCCAGACCAAAACTTTCCATTATCCTGATCCTTTCCAGACCAGTGTAAGACATTGAACTGAGCTTGGAGAGGTAACAGCCAATTCTTCCCTTTGTTGCTCAACTTCATTGCAGGTAACATCAAGTGCAGTGCAGCTCTTTG